TTTGGCCTCAGACCCTCAATAAACCAATCCCATCGAGTTTTATCATTAGGAACTACATCAGTAGCATAATGACTAAGTTTATTATATTCAACCTCATACTCATGCACTGCTCGATCGTCTTGCTTCAAGTTAAGAAACTTCAATAACATTGACCTCATAAACTGCTCCTAAATGTACTTGTTCTTGAAATCATCTTGAAAGAATTGTCAGTTCACTTGTTCCGGCGATGTATACATCATCTTATTTGTCCACCACACCCGAGCTGATCCTAGGAGTAACGATACATCTCAGACTAATTTTTCATGATCAGAGCACTGTATACTTTCCAACATCATCATAACATCATTTAACCATAAATCTGCATCCATCAGACCTTCACCTTCTTCTCCCCCAAACTCGAGAGCTCCCAAACTTCTTAATTCCTTAGGGATTAATATTCGCGTTACTGGAGGAATAGAGGAGGCGGAGGAGGTTGGAACCGTGTCAAGATAGCATTGAGAGCTTGCATAAAAGCTTTGAACTCCGGAACAGGCATACCCTCATGTGCCGGTGCACTAGCGTTCTCAGAAGAAATCTGATGTTCACTATTTTCGTAATAACTTTCACTACCCGATCCATCTCTACTTTCTCATCCAGCCGCTCTTCTCAAATTCGTAGAATCTGGAATCTAGTATAACATACATAAAGATAATGTTTAAGTTAGTAAGAAGAGACATCTATCATATTCTTTCTAGACCCTTATCAGTAACATTGACATCTTTGTGGTATATAAACCCTTTTTACATTAAAATACATTTTATTTCGGTCGAGAATCAGTTAAACCTGTAGCTTAGATACCAATAAATATAACACTCATCTCTCCTATACCTTTATGTATATGAGATACAAATGTCACATCACCTTTAAAACATTCTCATTTGAAAACCCATAAAAAAATTTATGAAAAAATTAATTTACTAAAATGCTAAAACATGCATTAACTTAAATAGATAAACAAAAAGTAATGTTCAAACATTTCACAATTTTCATTATGGTACATCAAATGTTTTTCAGAGCGTTTTTACTAAATATATTACATGCTAACTAAATACATCAAAAAGTAGACACAAATGTCATATGTTACTGACGAGGCGACACTTGCTTTGATGTCTAATGATCTCCTTACTCTACTTGTAGTAAAATCTATGCGTGAAATTAACACATGCTAAGAAATTTTCTTTGTGAGGAATAAATAATCATAATCAAAATTCTAAACACAATTATATCATAACAATTCTAATTTCTAGTGATTCATTCAATTCATTAAACACTCTATAGTTTACATTGATAGTGCTAATACTATCATTTCTCCACATTACTATAATTTACGTGGGTTGCGTACCCACTACCAATACAGAAATTCACCTACTTATTATGAATTTCTTATCTTTGCACATATAGTTCCCATACGGAAATTCACACACTTAATATGAATTTCTTGGTTTGCACACATAGTGCCCATACGGAAATTCATACACTTAGTATGAATTTCTTGGTTTGCACACATAGTGCCCATACGGAAATTCACACACTTAGTATGAATTTCTTAGTTTGCACACATAGTGCCATACGGAAATTCACACACTTAGTATGAATTTCTTAGTTTGCACACATAGTGCTCATACGGAAATTCACACACTTAGTGTGAATTTCTTAGTTTGCACACATAGTGCCCATACGGAAATTCATACACTTAGTATGAATTTCTTAGCTTTTTGCACACAAAGTGCCCATACGGAAATTCATAAACTAATTATGAATTTCTTAACTTTTTGCACACAAGGTGCTCATACGGAAATTCATAAACTAATTATGAATTTCTTAACTTTTTGTACACTCAGTGCCATTTGGTAATCACCATACATATATCAATCAATTATGCATCTATGAATATCATAACATATAGGTACGTAATAAATGCACTCATCTGGATTGCCTTGCTATTGTATCCAAAACGCAAAGTTGATTACTCATGTACTTTGCCTTTGCCTTTTGTTTTGCTTGACTCGGGAGCTTGATTTCGATCTACTCAAGCATCCAAAAAGATACATACAATACAATTGTTAGTATATTTCCTAACAATTATACTTAAACAGTACTCAAGACTACATATTATTTAATTTTTTATAACAATATCAGCCTATTTTTAAATTTCTGGCTCAATAGTATTGATACCTCTACCATGGTATCGGTACTACTATACTATGGTACTGATACTCTATTATGATATCAATACCATTTTTGCATTCTGTTATTAATGGTATTGATACCTTCCTCACAGTATCGATATCCCCTTTTCGATATCCCCTTTTCGGTATCCCCTTTCGGTATCGATACTGCTTGCATCAGTATCGATACTTCCCAGCTGATTTTCCTATTTCAATCATATAGTATCGGTACTATTTTATCAGTATCGATACCCGTACTCAGATTTTCCATTTTCAGCCCGATTCTTACCCACAATTTGGTCAAATATCCTTATGTTTACCTCCCACAATACTATCGAACTCTTCTTTACTTATCCCTAACTAATTTTCCTTCATTTAGTTACTTATAACATCCACAATCTCAAAAGAACCTTTCAATCTAAGAATCACACCATATTTTATAACATGTTTTTAAACCAATCCATTGCTTCCAATCTTTCATTTACTTTTTTGACAAGTCAAATATACTAATAAACATGACTAAAAACTCACATCATAACATATCATTCCAAAACCCATTTTCTTAAATCTCTAATATTTCGTCCATATCTTTGTTTTAGTCCTATTTAACCCTTCCTTAAGCTTACATATCACTTAAGATTGCAAAAACACCCCATAATCGAAAGGAAAAACTAATTAATTGAAGTTTACCTTTGGAGCTATTGAGGAGAGCACAAAGCCACGGGAAAGAAGAATAAAAAGAAGAGATAGCTTGTTGACTTACTTTCCTCTTTTTCCCTTATAAAATCCCTAATAAGGAAATACTTTAAATTCATTTCCTTTTAAAGGACCAAAATACCCTCTTCACTCATCTATTATTACAAAATAGTCTAAACCTTATTCCAAATCATTTTCTCATCTTTTGTCAACTATTCAAATAGATCCTCAAATTTTAATTCTTTTTAATATAGTCCCTAATTCAATATTTGGGACATTACACTTCACCTCTCATCGGTGGAATTTAAAAAAAGATGCTCAATCGTTGGACAATCAAAGATAATCTAAAATCAAGAATATTTTTTAATTAAGAATGTTTTATGGTTATTTCATGATTTTTAAAAGATGGATGTCCAATTACAATGTTGTTAAAGTATATAACGATGTCGCGACCAAAATATGAGTAAATCAAAATTTTAACGATTATTTTTTAACTTTAATAACTAAAATAAAAAAGATGAAAAAAGTTGAATGATGAAGTTTCTAATTTAATCTTATTTTATTAGTCTATTTCACCATTTTAGAGAGATAAAAACTATGATAAAATATTTAAAATTAAACATAATTTATATTGTTGTAAATTACATTGTATTTTCATTTTCATTAATAAATTGAGTAATCTCGGTGGTAAAAGGAGTGTTATTCTTCCTAGAGAACTTGTGTCAGAGCATTTGTACTTGTAGGGTGTGTATGCATTATTAATAGGCTAAGAAAACAAATTAAACAGGTGCTACTTTATAATCACCTAAACTTTTCAAAAAAAAAGCTACAATAAGATTCAAATGATGATTTTACTCTCTCTTTTTTTACAAATCCTAATTAGAATTCTAATATTACTTAAAGGGGAGGGTGAACTCCTAGTGAGTCTAGAAACTATTACCTACCAGGAATATGAAATAACAAAGATGGACAGCTTAACCAATCGGCCAAATGTGCTTGCTTACCCTACCCTTATATCTTTTTAATAGAGACAACTAGTTTTTAATTAAAAGAAAAAAATATCAATTTAGAACCATGATTGTAAGCTATAAACATAAGTAAGATATTTTTCTATACTTATTGACACAATAAACTAGCCACTTGAGATTAACAATGATCAAATAAGGAAAAGGTCAAAACTCAACCAAAAAACTCGAATAAAGATATATACAAATATATATGATTACATTGGTAAATGGACCACAAAAGGAAATCAAAATTACTAAAAAACCATTGAAAAATAGCATATCAAATTCGGGTGATATGATAAGACTATCCATGAATGCAACAGCGTATCCAAATTCAATCCAAGGATCTAGAGCATGAAATATCATTAGGGTAACAAATAAGTGTCATCTTGATCAGTCGAGACGTTATCAAATCCAACCCTGTAAAAAAGATAAAATGAAAAGAATAGCCAAATGACCGATAAGAAAGACTCAAAGCGTGCCAAAAGATAGAAGAAAACATATTATGAAGACAAAAAAATGTATCATCAAAGCAAGACTACTAAAAATTTAAAAATAAAAACAAATCAAATATGTAATATATAAAATAAAAGATAAACACCAACTATTGACCATAAATATTAAAGTTGGCATTGTCTTCGGCAGAACAAAGATTTTAAAAGAAAAAAAAGGTTTAAAGTCGCACCACGCTACCCTTATTATATCTAAATAAATCAAAATAAACTTCAAAAGGAAATTTCAATAGGAAACATTACAATTCAAATTAACTAAGTCTCTATACAAATCAAATTATCTTAATGGTTAAAAATAATTATTATTTCTAAAAATCTCAGATTTGATCACCATCGAATAACATGAATGATTAAATTTTATTATAAAATAATTAAAAATATCTAAAATATATATTATGTATAATCACCTAAACTTAATACAAAAAAAAAGTTAACTAAGCACCTCAAAATTACAATCAAAGCCCAAAACTTTAAAACTTTTTAGACAATTTAGCCCAATCTCTCAAACGAAACCCAAACATTAAATAAGACAGCATCAAGTTGTCTGTCACCTAAGCAACCACACGCGCTCATATTGGGAAGTGGGCAAACACTCGAGCTTTTCTTTTTGACATACTTTAACCTCGCACTTTGGAGAAACTTACTGCTTATGTTCTGGCAATCCCCACCAGAAGCTTGAAGAAGAGTAAAGAGACCAATTTAGGCATTGGTCCTTTGATTAGATACCTTGCCTCCCATGTTAAGGCCTTTTCTCATTTGTAAAACAACCTTTGGAACATAAACATTTGAAGATGTCTTGGGTACTTCACCATCAAATCATGCAAAAAGATGGTTTCTTTCAGAATCCATCTCCTCCTCCGCCGCCGCCTCCACCATCATCATCTGGTTCTAGAATCAGTCCAGCACTTCTTTTCATTACAGTAATCTTGGCAGTATTGTTCTTCATATCTGGTGTTGTACATCTGCTCGTTAGATTCCTCATAAAGCACCCACCTTCATCATCTCACCCTGAAATCTCCACCTCTGATGATGCTCCCCAAGGGCAGCTGCAGCAACTGTTCCATCTCCATGATTCAGGGTTGGGTCAAGCCTTCATTGATGCTTTACCTGTCTTCCACTACAAGCAGATTGTTGGTTTAAAGGAGCCCTTCGATTGTGCTGTTTGCTTGTGTGAATTCTCTGACAGAGATGAGCTGAGATTGCTTCCTACTTGTAGCCATGCTTTCCATATCAATTGTATCGACACTTGGTTGTTGTCCAATTCGAGTTGCCCTCTTTGTCGGGGCACCCTTTTCAACCCTGAATTCTCAATGCATAACCCAATGTTTGAATTCGATGGGATAAGGGAAGACGACGGCAGTCCGAAAACAATGGAAATGGAAGAAATTGTAGTGGACAGAGGTGTTTTAAATGTGAAACTAGGCAAATTCAAGAGGTTAAATGAGCATGGACCGGGGGAGTGTGTAGGCGAAACAAGTAGCAGCAATTTGGATGCAAGGAGGTGCCTTTCGATGGGCTCGTATCAGTACGTGCTTGCTGATTCGGATCTTAGGGTCCCTCTCTCCAACGATCGACGCGATTTTAAGCTATCGAAAGGGTGGGAAGAAGGGAAAAAGATGAGCAATGTGAGTAAAGGGGAAAGCTTTTCGGTTTCTAAGATATGGCTTTGGTCTAAGAAACCCAAACTGTCTGCTTCTTCCTCGGATGAACAATATGGTATGCCTTGTTCTGTTACTACCGATTTACCACCATGGTTGGTGAAAAATGAAATGTAATTGTCAACCTTCATATATCATGATCATTTATATTTTATACAATTCATGTACTTAGAATGGTTTTTTGTTATATTTGGAGGGTCTTCGGAGAGTCGTACCGTTAACCATATAGGAAAATACGCCGAGGGGAAAAAAACAAAAACAAAATGAATATAAGAAATCGATTTTTTTAAAATATAACATTATAAATATGTTTTATAATTTTATATATATTTGATTTATTAAATAATATTATAAATCTTACTTATCTATATGTAAAAGAATATAAAGAAATATTATATAGGTATATAGTTAGAGTCGTTTAAATTGAAAGCAATCAGTATCATAACATTATTAATAGTTATATTTAAATTTGAAAAAGAAACTTTAATAAATATATTCAACTAGACTCTAATTTCATAAATTCAACTTAAAAGATTTCAAATAAAATTTGAGTGATAAAATGATACTTATAATCTCGACTTCACTAAAAAATACAAATAAAATTTGAATAATAAAACAATAATTATAAACTCGACTAATTTTTTTGGGTAAATTACACGCTTAATCACTGAATTTTATTATTTCTTCTATTTCACTCATCGTACTTTTAATTTTTTTAATTTGCTCATTGAAGACATTAAACTTTTTTGTCACTCGACCGTTTACTTAGTAACGGGGAGCTTATGTGGCTTATTTTAATAATAAAACATGTCACATGTTTACTCACTGAACTGCATTCTCTCTCCTATTTCACTCGTTGTACTTTTAATTTTTCAATTTTAATTTAACACTGTTAAAAATTTAACGCTCAGGAGACCAAAAAAGTTCAATGTCTAAAGTTCAGAGAGTAAATTCAAAAAATTAAAAGTACGGTGAGTGAAATAAAGTGAAAGTAAAATTCAGTGAGTAAGAAATGTATTTTTTTCATTAACTGAACCGAATACTCGACTTTATATTTTATAATGATATTAAATAAATTCACATTAACGCAGGGGGTGGTGCTTTTGCTTTTTCTAAGACTTTTGATGATGGAGTTCATCTCATTTTCTTTCGAAAAATCATATCAAATTCAAAAGCTCAAAGGATAATGTGCACTCAATCTTCGACTTTGAGTGGCAAATAATGGTGGGATCCATGAAATCGCTTTTACTTTTTCCATTTTTTATTTTGTAATTTTATAATATCTCAACTATGCTAACAAATCAAAGTATTAATACAAATCACACGATTTTAATAGTTAAAATATTTGTTGTCATCTCTTTAAATCGTAAGTTGAGCATTACATATGCAAGAATATAGACGTTTATTATCAAATGATTTGAGAGTTTTAAAACAGATATTACATTATATTCTCCTATATTTATATAAAAAATATTCTATTAACACCTCTAATTGTATTATATACAATAAATTAGGGTGTGATTCAATTTGTTCATAGAAGTAGGTCAAGGATTCGAATTTTCGAGATTTACATTCGTACCTTATTTGGAAACAATATTGTGAAGTTAAATATCTACACCAAACAGACCATTCCAACCTCTAAGGTGGATGCATGAGGAATGCTCAAAGCGTAAGTTGGCTCTCTTGAGTTTCTTCTTAAGAAATCATATACGTAGTTTATCACAATTCTCTTCATCATATTTGATCCTTTCTTTGCTCTTACATATGAATGTCCCAATATGAACGCCATCCCTGATTCCCTAGCTTCCATCAGTTCCCGCAGTTCCTCCCTCGCCTCTGTATCGATCCGGGGACTTTCCGGCACGACGAACCTCACTCTCTTCCTCGGCTTCTCGGGGGACTTTTCTCTTACTATTTCGGATCCATCTTCACGCATTGCTACACTTTGTATATTCGATGATGATGTCCCGATAACTGTCATTTTCTCGTCGTTTTCCATGTTGGTTGTTCCGAGAACATGTTCAGGCTGCTCGGATCGGATGAATTCAGCGATGCTGCAAACAAGATCTTTCTCGAATTCTATGTCGTCTTTGTGAATGTCCCGATATCCGTACCGTGCAATACACCGATAGAGCTTGTACCCTTTTGGACCGACTCTTCCAACTAGGAACCATTCTTCGGGACTGACATGGGGTACTGGAACTGATTTGATGCACAGAAACACAACAACTTGATGGAAAGCTGGAAGGTTAGTGACGAAGTGCGAAAAAATGGAAGGGATCCCGGAAACAAGCTCTGTACGTATAAGACCGATGCCTCGGACACGTGTGATGCCCAAAGTTGGGCCGAGGGCGAGGAGCCAATTGATCGAAACCTTATTCTGAACATCGAACTGGTATTTCTTGAGTGTTCCGTAGTGCCAAACATACATTATGACTGAAAATATCAAAGCAAGTGCAATAGGAACCCAAGCCCCTTCAAGGAACTTCATGAGAGATGCTGAGAAATACAGTACTTCAATGGAGCCAAAGAAGAACATAAACAGAACAGACAGGTAAACACTCCCGTGCCAACATAACACAATAACCAGAGACATTAAGCATGTTGTTACCAACATAACTGTAATAACTGCCAAACCTGTTGGATCCAAGAAGATGGTGTTAGAAGATAATTAAGGATGTAATCGAGTGGCGTGGAGGTGGTAAGAAGATTATACCCGAGGCATTCCCCATGCGTTTCGTGTCTTGAAAACCAACAGTTACGGCCAAGCATAACAGCATTAGAGTCCAGTTGATCTGTGGGATGTAAATTTGGCCGTGGATTCTGTATGAAGTGTGGATGATTTTGATCTTAGGGAAGCAACCCAAAGCTGAACATTGTTTGATAATGGAGAATGTTCCAGTTATGATGGCTTGACTTCCCACAACCGCTGCAAGTATGGCTATAACCAGAACCGGCCATCTTATTTGCTCTGAAAACAACAATAATGGTGCCTAAATTTAGCAACATAACAACTTTGAAGATCAAAGAACATAGGTTTCATCAAAAACGTACCCGGCACAGACACGTAGAATCCGATCCTGTAGTTGGTTTCGTTAATATGATGCTTCGAAAGATACGCAGCCTGCCCCATGTATGCAAGGATTAAGGAGGGGTAAACCACAAAGCTGAAAGCAATCTGCAGGAAAAGTTGCGCATTTAACCCCATAATTAGCTTAGTTCTTATAAACATTTTTAAAAAGTGATAATTTGAAACAACTAAATTACCTTGATGGACAACTGTGAAAAATGCCCAAGATCAGCATACATCGCTTCTGAGCCTGAAACAACCAGAAAATATGTCTGATACGAATAAATTCAAAGAAAAATAAAGAGTCAGAATAACGCAGATACGAGTTACGGATCATTGTACCTGTTATACAAAGCAAGATGCCACCAAGTGACATCCAACCTTTCTTTTGGGTCTTCTTCAAGAACTTGTACATGTAATAGGGAGAGAGGGCTTGGTAGACATGGGGATTCCAATGGCAAATGTTGTAGACCCCAATTGCACTGATGCATAGAAGCCATGTTATTACAACCGGGGCGAATAAGAACCCGACCCGGTTGGTCCCGTAATGTTGGGGGGCAAACAAGAATATCAATATGGCACAAGCTGCTGGGACTTCAACATCTGCAGAATCAATAAACTCTGAGGAAACAGGACATCAAGAAGCACATGTGACTAACAAGAATCATACTTTATGCAATGTTTATCATATTTAAATCAAATATAAATAATTTAATATAAATACCAAGTTCTTTATTTTTAAAAAGCTTAATAAAACAAAAAAAATATATGATATTAAAAATAATACATTAGTAAAAAAAACTAAAAAAATTATGAGCTGGTCTTTTTTTTAATTAAATTATGAGCTGGTCTTAAACTGTGTTCTAAAAAGCGCGCATGAGGTGCTAGGTGAGGCAAGGCGTTTAGAAGAAAGCCTCCGACCACCAAGGCGGCGGCGAGTACATGAGGCGGCGATTCAGTCGTCGGAGGCGGCGAGGCGATGCTTTTAACGATTCACGTACAATGACCCATTTCAGATTGAGCTTTAGATTTTGGGGTCTGGGCTCGATTTTCTTCAAACAGTCAGACCTTTTAAATGCCGATTACTTACATCGATGTATTCCTAGAACTTTGAACCGTCTCTTGACCTTCTAACGTCCAATTTTTTAATTATTGTATGTCTATAAATCATGATCCAAGCTCTCTAGTTTCTCCTATGCAAACCCTGGAGCTTTTTTTCCCTCCTAAATTTTTCTTTCTCCCTCCTCCATTCATGCTTAATTCAACGATTGTTCTACATTGAAGATGAAAGCATGCTCCTTTCTCAGTTTCTCCTATCTCCTTTCTCGATTTTCTCCATTAAAGTCTTAATTTTAAAATTTGTATCACTGTAGTGTATGTAATATACAATCTGCTTTTCTTTTCCCCTCCACTCCTACATGGTTAATTTACTTCACTGTAATTTGTTAGATTGTTTTTCTAAAATGGCCACCAACGATGCTACCGGTTCCGTTGATGATGCAATTGATATGGGGAGGAAATATAGTATACCTGGCCCAACGAATAGGCATAGATTTACTTTCAAAATTTTGTGGAAAGCCAACTACTGGAGGAGTATACCGAGTAAAACAACATTTAATCGGAGGGTTTAAAAATTCTAAATGATGCCCCAAGTGTCCCGAGCATGTGCGGGTAGAAGTAAGAGACTACATGATCCAGAAAGAAAGTGGAAAAAATACCAACGTGTTCCCAACGAATGAAGTGGAAGTTGATGAGTACGATGAATAGGATGATGATGGTGCGGGAGAGGGAGGTAGCAAGGTTCCCCCTCTTAAAAAACCAAAACAAAAAGGTCCCATGGACAAGTTTTTCGCTAAAAAACCAGAAGACATACTCAAAGGTAGAAAAGGTGGGAAACAACAAACAATAAACGAAGTGTGTCGAAAAGACCTTAGGGACAAGGCTTGCAAGGAGATAGCTCGTTGGTTTTATGATGCGGGGCTACCTTTTAACGCGACGTCTTATGATAGCTTTCACATTGCAATGGAAGCGGTTGCACAATTTGGCC